GTGTATTAGGCCTCCAGGACTTGTTTTTTACTAGTTGCAAGTATGTACTCTTAAAAACATATCTCCTATACCCAAACCTCTCAGTACCTGACAACCACCATTCTACTCTCTGCCTTTACAAATTCAGTTTTTTTCAGATGCCACATGTAGGAGATAACATACACGTGAAAACAAACTTGAGGAGTAGTGCACTTTACATACTTTAATGTATACATGTTATACCTCAATTTTCAAAAGTTCATTAAGAAAAGTGGGGTTCTGAATATGAAGAAGTCTCAGGAATACTTTTATCAATTTATTCTGTTATATCATTTTCCTTTTTATATATATCCAAAGTGATATATGATAAAAATGTCTAAAAAAGTCCAGAAGAACTTTCAATAAATATGAAGTAACAATTCTAAGTGCTCAAAAACACATATTTATATTCACACATATTCAAATTCAGAGGGACTGCATGTAATCATTTATTTCCCAATAAGATAGAAAAATTCCCAACCAACTCATTAGAATCCATCCCAGAGAGTACAATGCTGAAGCTTCATCTGTGGGACCCTCAAGGCACTATCCAAAGGGGTTGGTAGGTGGTTGGTGGGGCCTGTAAAGGCTGACCAAGGTCACTGATAAGTACTTGGTGAAGGTCAGTAGTCAAGTTGCATAGTATATTGTATATTTTGTATATTTTTAAAAATCAAGAATAATGTTCATTTTGTTTCCTTTCCTGCATTTTAATCCAATGCTCAGAACTGTCATTCACAGATACAATGAATTCACAGATACAATCTTTGGAGAATTTTTTCTTACTGAGATTTAGCATATTATTTGTTCCTGACCCATGTGATTCCCAAGTATCTAAAAGGTATAAATTATTTATGGTCCAGATGGTGATCTGATACTACTCTGCATCAAAATGTTCTGCCCTTCTGCTGCATGCATAGGCACACAATTACAAAATTCAGGTTGGTCTTTAGGTACTAGTTTAATAGCCCAAGGTATGTTTTATTACAAATAAACACTCCAGTTTTCAGCAACCTTTTCTCCCTTTGACTGCTTAGAATTAAAAACTATTCTGTGGTAGCTACCAAGTTAAGGAAGAGAAAAGGGGAGGAAATTCCTTTTTTTTTCTTGCCAGAGGGGAGAATTTTTTTCTCAGCTGAATTAAAAATTTCAACATTTCAAAATGGAAGGCTGGGAATAGACTGCTAATTGTTCCCCAATACACTTTCCACCTACTTTATTCTTTAGAACCCTGAATTTAAGAAAGTAAAATGGCTTCCCAGAATAGAGACTACATGACCTAGCTTCTTTTACAGCTAGGTATGGTCATGTGACTGCATTCTGGCCAACTGTATGTTAGAAGAACAGACATGTGCACCTTGTGACATGTGCAAAACTCTGCCCTAAGGGCAGAGTTTGCTACCCCATTTCTCTTCTCCCTTCTTGCTGGCTGGAAGAGGGATATACTAATAAGCCATCTCAGGTCATGTGGACAAAGGTCCACCCAGGCATGGCAGTTCTATAAAACAGAAGTACCCAGGGATGGCAGTTCCATTAAACAGAGGAGCCTGGGACCCACCACAGTGCTGACACAGCAGCCCTTGACTGCATATGCCCAGATGTTAACATGAGGGAGAAATGAAGTATTTTCTATTGTGTAAGACATTATTTTGGCTCTATGAGACAACAGTTAAAACTATATTCTAATGAAAAAAATCAATATTTAAATAGAATAGTAGACAATTTTGATTAAAAGATTAACAAAAGGACCAATGAAAGTCTCCATTTCCATTTGCAGTTGAGGGTTGGAAAAAGCACTGATAGATTTTTCTTGATATATGGTCATAGACATTTCTTGACTAGATGCTTGAAGAAAGGTCCTTTCAAAGTCTGAGGTTAATAGTCTTTCTGCCTCCTCTTAAGATTGAGCCAGGGGATGATTCAGCACTCAGAATTAAATCAAGAAGGGTCTCAGATACATCACAAAAGGTCTCAAATATGTCATGAAGGGCCCCAAATAATCTGGAAGAGTTTCATAAAGTTATGAACGGTTTCAAATAGATCAGGAAGTGCCTCAAGTTATAAAAGGTCTCAAATCTGTTAGGAAGGATCTCAAAGTCATAAGGAAGAGTTTTAGATACACCAGGAAGGGACTTAGATGAGAAGCGTCTCAAACACACCAGGAAGGGTCTCAAACATGTCAGCAAAGGTCTTAAGCAGTCAGTAAGAGATTCAAATATATAAGGAAGGGTCACATACTAGTAAGGAAAATTTTAATGACCCTTGAAAGGGTCTCACACAGGCATAAAGAGATTTTAATGTCTGAATGGGTCTCAAAAAGTCATGAAGGTTCTCAAACAAGTCGGAAAGGATTTTATACATGTCAGGAGGTGTCTGAACATCATGAGGAAGTTTAATCTGCAATGGTCCCAAGTAGGTCAGGAAGTGGCTCAAACAGGTCATCAAGCATCTAAAATATGTTAGGAATCATTTCTACCAAATAAGAAAGAGTTTCAGGGAGGTAAAAAATTGTTCCAAATGCCACAAGAAGGGATTCAAATAGGTTAGGAAGGGCCTTGATTCACTAGGGATGATTTCAAGCAGCAAAAAGGAGTCTCAAAGTGGGGAAACTTTTGAAACAAGTCAGTAAGGATTTCAAACATGTCAGGAAGGGTTTCAAAGAAGCCAGAAAGGATCCCAAAGAAAGGAGTCTCAAATGCACCGTGAAAGACTCAAATGTGTCAGGTGTCTGAAACATGCCATGAAGTATATCAAAGGAGTCTGAAAATGTCTCAAACATGATCAGAAGTGTCTCAAAGTCATCAGGAAGAGTCTCACATACATCAAGAAAGGCTTCAAACACATCAGGAAGCATCTCAGATATGTCCAGAAAAGTCAGATACATCAGGAGAATTATCTAATGCATCTGAAAGGGTCTCAAACAACTCAGGAAGGGTCTAAATGTTATGAGGAAGAATCTTACTGGGTCAGGACAAGTCTCAAACAGTTCAGCAAGGATGTCAAGCAAGTGAGAATGATCTCAAGTCAGGAAGGGTGTAAAACATGACAGGAAGGGTCTCAAAGTCATTAGGAAATGTCTCAAATAATCAGAAAGAGACATTAACATTTCATGAAGCAGCTCAACCAGGCAAGGAACTTGGAAATAATCAGGAAAAGACTTAAACATGTCAGAAAGAGTCCGAACACAAGTTAGGAACTTTCTCAACTGTGGAAGGAAGGAGTAAATTTCCAGAAGGTCTCACTCAAGTTAGGAAGGGTCTCAAAAAGAAAGGAAGAGTCTCAAACATGGTCAGAAGGGTCTGAATATGTCAGGAAGGGTCTCACAGAACTTGGAATATGTCTCAAGCAAGTCAGAATGATTTGAAATGCATCAGGAAGAGACTGACACAAATCATGAAAGGCCCTACACATGTCAGGAAGTCTTTTTTTAAATTTGTAGCATATTTTAATTTTAAATCACTTTAATACTTTAGCACAACAAAATGTAACTGTTTTCTTTGTACATAGGTTATTTCTCTGGAGAAACTTTTCAGATACTGATGTAGTTACTTCATCTTTTGAAAGAAAGAAACACAAATTCTTATATGTGACAAATTGCTCAAGGTAGACAAAGAATATTAAAAGAAGTTAACTTCTTAGGGACTTCAGTGTGGTGTGGTACATGCTTTAGTAATAAGCTTGCTTGCAGGAAGGCTAGTAAGGGTTTTATGTATGGTGTCTGGCACACTGTAGGCACAAAATAAGTGTTTCTTGAATGAATGTAGGCATTTTTGGGAGGCCAACTAGGAATCAACTCATTCTAAGGGTAACCTGTTTGTTGAACAAAAACATCAGACCAGGATAAAAGTGTTTCTTGAGAAGCATATTGGGGTAAAATACATCACTACTCAATGGGTATGTCTGAAAGAACTGTTAGTTATTGCTTTTCATTTCAATGACCTTGATAAAGAAAAAGCCCGGTGGCTTTAAGGTAATGTAGCTTAAAAAAATTAAAGTATTAGTTCATGGAATTTTAGTTTCTTACAGTAGCCCAATAAAGTCTAGTTGCTGTAATTCTTTCCCTTCATTTTAGTGATTCTAGATGTATATTCCAGCAATGTAGGTAGGAAGCAGACTAAGTCACCTGGAGTTTGCAAAGGGATTCTGTTCTTTTCGTAAACTAAAGCTTTTAGCAATTTTTTTGTAGTTATATTTCTATTACCTGGTTCTTGTGTCCCAAAATATTTAATACCCTTTTTATATAGTCACTGGATGAGATTCTATAATTCTTTCAAGAAAAGTGAGTGGTACACTGATGGTACAGAAATTATTCTATTAGTCAATTCACATACATTTTGGATATTATAGTAAATCAAGAATTAGCAATATTTCAGATTTATTAATAAAATTTTACTATATCTTTGTACCTCCTTGTAAGGTACGTATACAACCTGTTTAAAAAAATGGGGGGCATTATTTGTATATTTACCAAAGATCTATTCTGTTTTCATCAAGGTCTAGAAAATAATTTTCTAGGTGTGTCTAATGTTTACTTCTGGGGTCAGTGACATCTGTGAAATATGTTATTTTAGACGACTGCACAGCATATTTAGTCATTGCTTCCCTCCTACGGATCTGCTGCTACTTGGGAAATCTGAAGTGAAAAGAAATAGATGTAATTTAGGTTAACAATTTTGGTTTTCAATTTAATGGACTGCATTCCAGTTAATTTCCTATTTCTTAACTTTATAGGAAAATGATTGGGCTTCATGATACAACTTTAACCCGTATAGAATCCACAGCTTTGGTGTTGCAGGGGGTGTTTGGAAATACAATATGTACGAACTTAGACTACTGTGGTGTATCTACTCCTGGGAGGAATACAATTGTCAGTCATGGAGTTTTATCAAATACTAGGTATTTTCCCACCGGAATGCTTCCTGTGCTGTGTTTACTGAAGCTGACTCCACAGGATGCTTTTCCTCACATCAGACTGTTGTACTTCACATTTTCTTCTTTTTAATGGGAAAGACTCTGAGGATGTCTCTTCTTTTTAAGTAAAGATGACTGGAGGTAAAATATATGCCTATAAAGAGCATCAAGAGATATAGTTTCAGCACATATGGGAAATAAATGGATAAGTCAAAGGGCAGCTTTGTGGAATAAGTACCAAATGATTCAAAATAAGGCAGTGACTGATAGATGGCAAATGCTTCTGTGAGGACACACAAAGAATAAACCAGCATCCATAGTGTTTGACTGAGCCATGTCAAGACCACACAGGATATTCCAATGACTGATAACATGCAGTTAGTGTACCTAACTGTATCCAACAGATTCCAAAAGATGAATAAAAGACACACCACATATTTCCCTTGGACTTCCTCTTCACTGGTGATCACCACAAAGAGGATGATGATTCTCTCTGTGAGCTGCAGAAACCTAGGAAAAAGATGGTCTGATTCAATGCCAACATACATGTGCAGCAACTCCAAGAGAGAAATGGACTGGCAAAGTCAAATCACAAGTCCAATAGCATAGAAAGTGTCAACCATGGAATCGTGCTCAATGGAAAAGCTTTTCCACTGCCAAGGAAATGACAAAGATGAGAAAAATAAGGTTTCAGAGATGCTTTATGGAAATGGCATTAATAAAGATGTGATTTCAAATAATACCTATGTGTACCTAGCGTTTGTGTCATCTACATACTTGGTCGGTACTTTCTGGATTTTTGTTAAACACTAGGCTACCGCTGGGGACTTTAGAGTTTCCATTGCTGAGAGCCCATCCTACATATGGAGTGAGCTGAAGTGGGAGGGAAACGAATGCTCCTCTAAGTAGGATAAATTTAAATTTTAAAATTAAATCCTGCCCTGTTAAGAAACTTCTAGGGAAGATTTTGCTGTCTTCGCTGCCTAGTGACCATTCCCATGACCATACGTCATCGAGCACTCCGGGTTTCCCTTCTTAGCGGCTCTGTGAGGTGGCCGCGATGGTCACCATCCTTTCTCTGGTGATTCCTGAGGCAGACCAGAGGTCTTTTATTACTGGTTATTTTTTAAAACAGCTTTATTGAGAGAATACATCTACCATAAAGTCCATCCATTTCAAGCATACAATTCAGTGGTTTTAGTATAGTCACATGTGTGTAATCATCATCATCACAGTCAGTTTTATAACATTTTCATCACTTTGCAACGAAATCATATCCTTTTGGTATCTCCCGCATATTCTCCACCATTCTCCCACCAGCCTTAAACAACCACTAATCTAATTTTTATCTCTATAGAGTTTCCTGTTCTGGGCTTTGATATGAATTGAACCATGTAATGTGTGGTCTTTTTTGATTGGCTTCTTTTACTTAGCATAATGTTTTCAAGGTTCACCAATGTTGTAGCATTTTTCAATACTTCATTACTTTTCAGTGGCCAAATAATATGTCTGTTGTATGGATACACCACATTTTGTTTACCCATTTGTCCATTGATGGATATTTAGGTTTGCTTCCACTTTTTGGCTGTTATGAGCAATAATAATAAACATTCAAATACAGGTTTTTGTTTTCAGTTTTGTTGAATATTTACCTAGGAATGGAATTGTTGGGTCATACGTTAACTCTATATTTAATTGTTTGAGGAACAGCCCACAAAGCAGCTGTGCCATTTAATAGTCCCATCCCATTAGTAGTGTATGAGGATTCTGATTTTTCCACATTCTTGTCAGCATTTGTTATTTGATTGATTCTAGCCATCCTAGTAGGTGAGAAGTGGTATCTCATCGTGGTTTTGATCAGAAAGTCATATACACATCAGGAAGGGTGATAAATAAGTAAGGAAGGCTTACAAAGAGGAAGAGTCTTGACTATGTAAGGAAAGGATGCAAAGTAGTCATGGAATTTCTAAGTACCTCAGAATGTGTCTCACACACAAAGTCTCTAATATGGCAGAGAAGGTCTCAAGAAGTCAGGAAGGATTAAAAAGCACATCAGGAGTGGTGCCAAACATGTCAGAAATGATTCATTCTCAGTGTATGGAAAAAAAATAGATTTTTGTATTTTGATCTTGTATTTTGCAATCTTGATAAACTCATTTATTAGCTCAAATAGTTTTCTTTTTGGTGGCCTCCTTAGGATTTTCTATGTTCAAAATCATGTCATTGTGAAGAGATAATCGTACTTTTTCCTTTCCAATCTGGTGCCTTATATTTCGCCTTCTACTTGCCCTAGCTAGAACCTACAGTACAATGTTGAACAGAAGTGGCAAGAGCAAGCATAGTTGCCCTGTTCCTGACCCTAGTGGGAAAGCATTATCTTTCCCCATTATGTGTGAAGTAAGCTGTGGGCTTTTCATAGATGCCCTTTATCAGTCTGAGGAAGCTCTTTTGTATTTTTAATTTGTTGAGTGTTATTATCATGAAAGAGTGTTGGATCTTGTCATATGCCTTTTCTGTGTCTATTTATATGATCCTGTGGTTTTCATTTCTTATTCTATTGATATGGTGTTTAAAATAACCTATTTTCAGATGTTAAACTAACTCTGCATTCCTGGGTTAAATCCCACTTGGTTAGTGCATAAAATCTTTTATACATTGCTGGATTCAGTTTGCTAGTAATTTGTTGATTTTTAAGGGGTCTGTATTCGTAAGGGATATTGATGTGTAGTTTCTTTTTCTTGTGATGTCTTTGTCTAATTTTTCTATCAGAATAAGACGGTCAGCTGCCGTAGGGAATGCAGTATAGCCAGAGAAGACAAGTAGTGACTCTACAGCATCTTACTACGCTGATGGACAGTGACTGCAATGGGGTGTGGGGAGGGACTTGATAATATGGTGAATGTAGTAACCACAATGTTGCTCATGTGAAGCCTTCATAAGACTGTATATCAATGATACCCTAAAAGAAAAAGAATAATATGGTCAGTTATGATAGTAGACCCATCTACTTCTCTTTGCAATTCTATTGGTTTTGGCCTCACGTAGTTTTGATGCTCTGTTCTTGGGCACATTAAAGATTGTTGTGTCTTTTTGGAGAACTGACTCCTTTATCATTGTGCAATGCCCTTCTTTATCCTTCATAATGTTGCTTGCTTTGAAGTTTGCTCTTTCTGAAGTTAATGTAACTATTCCTGCTTTCTTTTGATTAGTGTTAGCATGGTATATTTTCCTCCATCTATTTACTTTAAATCTGTACATGCTTTTATATTTAAAGTGGGTTTCTTGTAGCAACATATAGTTGGGTCTTAGTTTTTGAACCACCGTGACAATCTCTGTCTTTTAATTGGTGCATTTAAAACAGTGACATTCAAAGTGATTATTGATGTAGTTGGATTAATACCTACCATATTCATAACTATTTTCTATTTGTTGCCCTTATTCTTTGTTCCTATTTTTGTCTTCTATTCTTTTTATATCTTTTGTGGTTTTAATTATGCATTTTTAATAATTCCATTTCCTCTCCTTTCTTAGTATATTGGTTACACTTTTTTAAAAAAATGTTTTTTGTGGTTGCCCTAGATAGAATTTGCAGTATACATTTACAGCTAATCCAAGTCCACTTTCAAATAACACTATACCTCTGCACAGGTACTGTGAGTACCTTATGATAACAAAATAATCCTAATTCTGCCCTCCCATCTTTTATATCAGTCTGTCATTCATTTCACCTATATTATAAGCATACATCTCTGCATGTGATTATATACATAAGCATACATAACCAAATACATTGGTATTATTTTGAACAAACTGTTATCTGTTAGATCTATAAAGAATAAGAAAAAGTTTTCATTTTACCTTCATTTATTCCTTCTTTGATGTTTTCCATATTTTATGTAAACTGAATTTATGACTTATATTATTTTTTTTAAAAAAAAGAACTTATTTTAACATTTCTTGTATGGCAGGTCTACTGGCAACAAATTCTCTCAATGTTTGATTGTCTGAGAAAGTATTTCTCCTTCACTTTTGAAGGATAATTTCACAGGATACATGTCTTGCCAATGGGTTTCAGCCCCAGGCAAGTTTGCTATGGATTCAGCGTGACCAAAGAAAATGACAGCAAAACGTTCTTTGGGGTGAAAGGGTTATACCCAACTTTATTTCCAGGTGGCAGGTCAGTCACTAAAATCCCGTTCACTCAGAGTGAGTCTGTATGCAGCAAGCCAGTCTCTGCCTCTGGGCCTCTCTGTCCACACAGCCATCCTCTGGGCCTCTGTCCTCAGCGCTGCCACCACTCCAGCCTCTGCTCTGCTCTGCTCTCCTGCAGCCTTGGAGCCCTACCACCATGTTGTGCCCAGGCTACTGGGAGGAGCTCTTTTTATAGAGTCAACAGCCATGTATTGCCCACAGGTGTGCAGTGAGTTAGTCAACCACAGCCAGGTGAGAATCCTGGCCACAGGAACTCTCATTTTATCCACAGTACAGAATTCTAGGTTGGTGTTTTTCCTCTCAATACTTTAAATATTTTACTCCACTCTCTTCTTGCTTGCCTAGTTTCTGAGGAGTAGTCAGATGTAATTCTTATCTTTGATCCTCTATAGGTAAGGCTTTTCTTCTTTATCTCTGACTTCTTTCAGGTTTTTATCTTTATATTTGACTTTCTACAGTTTAAAAATGATATGCCTATGTGTCTGGCCTGAGGGTTTCAGCCCCAGGCAAGTTCACTATGGATTCAGTGAGACTGAGGAATGACAATACAACATTCTTGGGGTAAAAGGGTTTATTACCGGCTTCATTCTTCCAGTTATAGGTCAAGCACTAGACTCATGTGTGTATCCAACAGTCTGCAGGTCTGTAATCCTCTTCCATCTCTGCCTCTGCCAGAGCACTGGGCAGAGCTCTTTATATAGTGACTCAGTCAATAATAGCTTATGGCCTAAGAGTGTGGAAGCAGTAACCTAGCAATAGGCCAATTACATCATCAGGTAGTTTAGGTTCAGGGGAGGGTACTGGCCATAGGTACTTCCATTTTCTCCACACTATGTGTAGTTTTCCTTTTTTGGTATTTATCCTGCTTTGAAGTCTCTGAGTTTCCTATATCTGGGCTTGGAATCTGACATTAATTTGGGGGGAATTCTGTCATTATTGTTTCAAATATTTATTCTGCTTATTTATCTCTTTCTTCCCCTTATGGTATTCTCATTATGCCTATGTTACACTTTTTGTAGTTGTCCTATAGTCCGAGGATATTTTTTTCTGTTTTTTCTTAATTCTTTTTTCTCTTTGTTTTTCAGTTTTTGAGGATTCTATTGATATAGCCTCTAGGTCAGAGTTTCTTTCCTCAGCCATGTCCAGTCTACCAATAAGCCAATCAAAGGCTTTCTTCATTTCTGTTACACTGTATTTTTATCTCTAGCATTTCTTATTGGTTCTATCTTAGGATTTTCATCTCTCTGCTTACATTGCTGATCTCTTCTTATACACTGTCTATTTTGTCCATTAGAGCCCTTAGCATATTAATTGTAGTTTTTAAAATTCCTGAATCTGATGATTTCAACATCCCTGCCATGTCCGGTTCTGTTGCTTACTCTGTCACTTCAAATCATGTGTTTTGCCTTTG